TTTATAAAAGGGACTTAACATTTCCTTCAGAAGTGAGCAATATATTTGTCTGAAAGGCTGGTGGATTCTGATCCTAACAACATTTATCAAAGTACCATTGCTAGAAAGTTCTTCAGTTCAAGGAGATGGATTTAGGGATTTCCAGAACTAGCATTTTGCCCATCATCAGGATCAAGGATGAAAAGATGAGGTGAGACAGAGAAAAGCTGCTGAGTGAATCAGAAAAGTAGGTCAGGGCTTCCAGTGTCTGATTCTCTAGGATACTTGCCTTTGTATCTCAGATGTCTCATTTCATGGGCTCTTTGCAGACCAGCAGGAAGAAAAAAAAGAGGTTCAATAATACAACAAGAAACAGTGAAAGCAGCTCCTCTGCATTTCAGACGTCAAGGAAAATAGATATTTCTAGTTGCCTCGGATTAGGGATTTACCATATGTCATCAATACTGTAGACTGAAGGACTTATTTGGGAGAAAATCTAATGACTCTGAGATTTTTAAAAGGGGGAAAAAAAAACCCTCCCAAAGCCTCAAAAGCATTTTACTGGTTGCTGGGATTTATTATCTCATTTGTTTGTAAGGAGCTATTAGTTAAATGCTTCTCTAGAATACATATGGCATTTGGTGAGATTTATTTATGGAGTTCCACCTATGTGACTAAATCCCATTATGCTATAACAACTCAGTATTTTCCTTATCATGTTTTAGCTGTCAGATTTGTATGTGGTTTTTTTTCTTTCCTTTATTAATTTTTTGTAAAAAAAAATACACAAGTGCATTGTTTCCAGGGAAAATCATTTTAAAACACTTCAGGGTAATGAATGTAGTTTTCGTTCACAGAGCTGTGCATAAATATCTAGCACTTAAAAAAGAAGAAGAAAAAAAGAATGCTTATAACAAATTGTGAAGTAGGCTAGACTGTAAAATATTCTCTGAAATGTCTGAAGCAAGTGTTTACCAAATGTTAATATTGTCATTTTATAAATAATTTCTATAAAGAAGCCCAATCAATAATAATTTACTGGCGGCCCCCAGGGGGAGGGCCTTCTCTGTGGGGGCACCCACTATCTGGAACGAGCTCCCCCCAGAGATACGGAGGATCCCAGATCTATGCACTTTCTGCCGTGCTCTTAAGATTCTTCTATTCCAGCAAGCTGGCCTGGCCTAATTTTCTCCCCTGTTTTAAAATTCTTTTACATCGAAATTTTAATTTGTTTTAAATTTTGGGATTTTTAAATTGTCTTGGGCTAAATTATTTAATCTGGTTTTAATTATATCTTTTAACTTTTGTATTTATGTATTTTATTTTGTGCCTGTTCACCCCCCTGAGTCCTTCAGAGTAGGGTGGTATATAAATCTAATAAAAGACAAAGACAAAGACAAAGACATAAAGAATATATTTGGCAGGGTTATAGAATCACAAAGATCAGGGTGGAAAGTTGAAATCTGAATATCTGAAGGGCGTTACATTAGGAAAAAAAGCTGGATTGGAGCACACTGTTTGCCTTATTGGGAACCATATTCTTGAAAAAAATATGGCTGACCTAATTATAGGCCACTTGCATCAGTGTTACCTATGGAAAAATTCAGGGCCTTGACGTAAGAGATATAAATATAAAAGATGTAACTTTTACCAATATTCAGTAAAGGAGAAAAAAATTCTGCTATTTTAAATTTATGCTCTTAAATTCTTTAAACACAAACCTCCCTATAGGAAAAGAGAAAATTTGCACAGCTAGTTCTACATGCATCATTTATTGTTTCAATTCTTTTGTTGGCTTATCCCGCATTCCACTCCTTTTCCCTAGAAGATCATCTTCTGCAGTTTAGAGCTGAACTAAGGCACAATATAGAAACTTATCCATAACAATTTAGTTACCAACTTCTCTGCAGAATTCCAATCGTCATGTTTAATTTTTCACCCAATGAAACCTTCCTTTACTTGCCTTCCCATTCTAGTGACTCATTCTGAAGAGGTATTTTCCAGAATAAATTGATTACAATACTGTAAGGATTAAGACCTGGGCATGGAATGAGAATTCTATTTATTGTTCTACTAGTTACTTTTATTGAAATCTGCATGGGGGAGTACACTTTTTTCAAAAGGTCCTTTTGAACTTCTCAGCAGTTTTTGATGCCATCAACCATATTTTCTCAGCTGCTCATGATGACTAGGAGAGGAAAACATTCTCTTGTGGTTGCATTTCTCTCTTTGCATTTTAACATCTGTATAAAGCCACTGGAAGAAGTCACCTACTCATATAAGTTGAGGTATTATCAAAACACTGATAATATTTAGTTGTACCTCATCACCTTGGGCTGAACTGAGACACAGTGGAAATCTTGACCTGGTATTTGAAGTGCTTTAAGTCTGCATCTGAGACTGAATTGTAGAAAAACTGGAGTCTTTTGCCAGCTGCTAGGGGTTTTTTTCATTCTCACTAAAGAAATAACAGAATAACAACCTTGGAGATCCAAGCCCTTGCTCAAGCCCTTGCTCAAGCAGGAAACTCTATACCATTTCAGAAAAACAGTTGTCCAATCTCTTCTTAAAAATTTCCAGTATTGGAGAACCTACAACTTCTGGAGACAAGTCGTTCAACTGATTCATTGTTCTAACTGTCAAGAAATTTCTCCTTAGTTCTAGGTTGGTTCTCTCCTTGATTTGTTTCCATCCATTGCTTCTTGTTTTGCATTCAGGTACTTTGGAGAATAGGTTGACCATCTCTTCCTTGTAGCAATCCCTTAGATATTGAACCTGAAACTTAGGTGCTGTCCTAGACACAAGACTATTGCTAAATAAGAGTAGGTAGCTCATAGCTATGAAAAACTTTGCTTAGCTATGACTAATCCATCAGTTGCAATTCTTTCTGGAACATGAGTTATTGGTAATAGCTTTCCAACATTTATTATTTTACCTATAGAATCAGTTACTGCAATGTATTCTAAATGGTGTTGATGTAGATTTCAGCATCTCAAGTGGATTTGGCAAATGAAATCCCTCTATACCATGTGTCATCAATTTTGCAAACTGCTGCATTGATTTACAAGAAATTTATGAGTACCATTGAAAATGCTGGTTTTGTTCAAAAAAGCCCTTTATGTCTTGATAGCTGAATTATTTACAACTGCCTCCTTCAAATAAAATTAATTAATCTCATGCATGTCTTGAGTGTTTTTGTCTCAAGAGTTATTCCTGCATAACTCAAGGAGGTGGCCAGACCCCTTTTTTCAGTTTATGCTCTGTCCTTACCTCAGTCAAGAAAATAAGAATGGCCTATCTGCTGGTGTCTAGAAGGGCAGTCAAATGGCGCTCTTTCCTATTTAACAGAAGTTTAATACTGAATCTGGTTGTAATTATTGTTAAGAAGATTCAAAACATCCTACATATTATGTACCTCAGCATGGTCCTATTATTTAACAGAATAATTAATATGTGTTATTTATTTAGAAATGGTAGGAAAAGGACCATATTTTCTTGATAATATTACAACTAAGTTTAACATGAATCTTAGAATTTGCAGCCTATAAAATGTATGATATATTTTTATGCTACATATTCATATACAATACATTCAAATGCAGAGAGGGATGTATCAACAGCATGTGGATGTTTAATGCCTAGAGTTTCACAGAAGAGAATCTATGAAGCATTATTCACTCCTTGTTATTATTCCATATAAAAGAACAAGATTAGAGTTACAGTATGTGCTATTTTTGTGGTACTGTTAAGTATTTCCACTTGAATGAAATATGAACTAAACATGAATCTCATTAAATATCAAATTTCTACAAATATAAAGCACAGAGGACTTTTTAGGCATCACCTTATCACGTTTTCCTGTAAATATTATAGCATGCTGCTGTTTCTTTCTGCCAGCATTTATAAGGCATTTAATTTAATACACTCCACCAGTTTCCACATTTTTATTCAGATAAACAAAAGCCTTCTAAAATATTCTGCATATATCACATTGCTTTTGAATAGTAGTAAGTTTATAAAGACATCAGAAACCAGTATTTACCTTTAAATAAAAGTATGATAAATTATTTTTAATTATTTACCAGTTTACCAAATATTTACCAGATACTGAACCATAAACTAAACAACCAGTTTGTTTTCATATTTTGTTCAAATATTTTCCTGTAGATAATTCAATATGTTATGCAAATCCAGGTCATTGGGTTTTTAAAAAGCATAATAATTCTATTAGCCACAGAAAATAATATTTTACAAACTGTTCAAACTATCTTAAATGCATTCTCAAAATAGCATTTATATTTAAATTTGCACACACATATAGTTACGTATATATGCACATATGCACATAATAAGATGAACTCCATTTTATTATCCTAATGCTATGTGTGAATTCTTAAAAATATTTTTTTAGGACTTAGTTCAGCATAAGCATATACAAAACTGCATATTTTATATCCAAAATATAAATTTCATACTTCAAACCTGGAAGAAAAATCTCTGTTATTACTTCTTTTGTATTGATTTTAAATTTCGAAATACTTTCTTTTGCTGTAGTAGTAGTAGTAGTTGTTGTTGTTATGGATGTTTTTTGGGAGAACAGGAAGATATATTCTAAATGTGTTGTTTGCTTCAAACACAACAAATCACACAACAGTAAAATACTTACTTAAGAATACTAACTCTAAGCAGGCATTTATTATATCTATTATTCTACAAAGAATAATATCCATGTTCCTATTGACATGTTTCTGTGTTAATTTCTATACACAAGTTATTAAAGATTCCTGCACCAAAAAAGTAATTTAAAATATCTTGGAGAGGTTTGTATACTTGACAGTCTTTAAACAAGATTATTAAAATTACGTTTATTAATAGTTGAAATGGAAAAGATATATTTTAGGATATCCATATTTCATGAGTTATTACCTAATGCAACATAGAAAAAAGGTAGAAATTTTATAAAGTTGTGTATTAAATTGTTTAAAGCACATTGTTAATTAACTTTATTTATTTATTTCTAGTCGTATTGCTTGATACAACCACTGCAATTGGAGAGCTAGGATGGAAAACCTATCCACTAAATGGGGTAAGTCAATCATTGTAGGTATGATGGCTATTTTGGAATATATCGGATGTGCATTGAAATTTACATTGTACTCTGTATATTTAATTCAATTGAAAACTGCATTTTAGTAAATATTTGTAAAAATATTGAACTGCACCAGTAGAAGCATCTTTTGTATACACAAAATGGCATAAATAATTAAACACCTTTCATGGTTTATTTATGAATAGTTATGACTTACATAGTAAATCAACTTTTAAGTATGAATAGCTTTTTAAAATACCTTTTGATAATTATGGAAAGGGTTTTCTGTTTAAAAATAATATGAATGAAATTCATTGAAACACTTCTGATCATATTTGACCTGTAATGTGTATCTGTTGTTCAAAATATGAATGTTTCCCATAATACTGTTTTGGAAGCATTAATCCTATCAGCCCCTTGGAGAATAGGGTCTTATATTTATCTATGGAAGTTATGAACTAGTAAATGCAAGCTACTCACAACAATGAAAGCCCTAGCTGCTTATACAATACTCAGCTGTTGGGATCTAGCCAAAGAATAATTATTCTAAATTTGCAAATTTAGAATAATGAATATAATAATTGTTGGAAGTATGTTGTAAAGCTCTCATGTGTATAAGATGCTTATAAGGTACTACATTCCTATGTCTAAAATATAGTATATCAGGAGGAGACACAGGCGAAAACAATAGAATGCCATGGTTAATGACATATGGTAACACTATAGAATGTTACCTTACTGCAACATTCACATATTTTCCTAAGCAATGGGACATTTTCTTCATTATCAGATCTCTGACATTATTCAAATTAGATTTTGTTGTTCTCTGACATTACCAGGAGACAATAGAGGGAGAGAGGGAGGGACGGAGGGAGAGAGAGAGAGGGAAAGAGAATAACTTTATAAATTTAAAGTTTATAATGCAGTTTCTGTCAGGTGCAATTTGTTCCCTTTTCATATGGGAACTATAATAGGGAATCAGTCACTAACTCATTTCACATGATCTCAGACTCCTTATTTTTCCATTTCAGTAATTCCAGATTGTAATAATTGTCACACTGCTCATTTGAGTGAAATATGATCCTAAGAAAGATATTTGAAGCAGACTCAATGGATAGAAGGCAACATGTTTTGAAAACAAGTCAAAATCCATTATGCATGTTCTAAATACAGGTTTCTATAGATGAAGACAGTTGATTCCTTATCTTTGATAATAAGATAAAAATGAATTCTGACTTCATCACTCAATTTCTTGTAAGTTAAGAGACATTAAAATAATTTTTCCCCTTTCTACTGTTTGAAATTCAACTGTGGTTCTCAAGTAACTCAAGTCACGTTTTATGAGGGTGGGGTAGGTATATAAATATAAAAAATAAATAAGATCATTTTAGCCATTTTGCTTGGCCAGTTCACTTAAGAATGCATTGAATGAACTTGTATATTTCAACTATTAATTAGGAACCCATATCTTTAAACATTTAATCCATTCTATTGATTAGCTTTGAAGATCACTTTAATTTAAGATACCTTGTTGTCAACGTACAATTTATTTTTATATGCTGTATCTTCAATGCTGAGTACTTTTTGGTTTTGAGATGATACACACACACACACACACACACACACACACACACGTACATGTGTTTGTTTGTGTGTACATACACACATAAAACAGGGCAAAAAATTCTACTTTGCATACTCTATTATGTAAGTTCCATTTAATTATGCAGAGATTATGAAAGAGATTTTTTTTTAGTTTATCGATTATATTTTTCAGAGTTTTACAATCCTATTATATCTCTATTGTCTTGGATAGCATTTATATTTCCTGTACTGTATATTTCTTGTACGAAATGGACGTTTCTTTTTGTTTAATTCAGAATTTTATTTGCCTTGAAAAGAAGGAGAAAAATTTGAGTGAACAAGATATAGTAATAAATAAAAGAAATAAATAACTTATAGTATATTTAAATTATATTCATCCACTGCATTTCTGTTAAGCTTATTAGGACAATGGGAGTTACAACATTAAACATTTTAATATATTATTACAGCAAAGACTAGCACATCACAGAGCTCCTGGGATCATTCACAGATATCAGAGTTTTGAGTTACTGTAGCATGCTGATAGTGTCACTATCCTTTCTAAGTTCTGGTTCAGTAGTATGCTTATATGCATGCATGAATTGATTTATGTATCACGAACTGTGCCAAAACATAGTCAAAATTCTTTAAAGCAATAATGGAATGAATATACCCTAGGAAACCAGCTGTGTGGTCCATTTATGCTCTGCTTATCTTTAACAATGATGGATTTTTTTATATGCTTTTATATGCTTTAGACTTTTTCCATTATTCTAAGTAATATGACAAGCAGAACTCCAACACTGAATACTGATGTTTACCATTTACAGTCTGAAATTTTTTAATCCCTCTGTTTTATACCTAGAGATCTAGAGAATATTTAAGAGAATAAAAAACATCAAACTTTCAAATATGCAAATAACTATACAGAGCATTCTCAATAAAACTTTAAAAAGGTCTAATTATATCAATCATAGAGCCTTATTGATGTTTTATCACTTTAAAACATCTTATAAGAAGGAATTTGGAGCGGATTCTGTAAGAAATTATTGTCAAATATTTTCATGTGGAATTTTAGGCTCTTGGTGACTTCTGTAAAAGCTATAGACCTGTAATGGCAAACCTATGGCATGTGCCTGAAGTGGCACACAGAGCCATGTCATCTGTCATGAATGGCATCACCTGTTCCGCTTCTGGGTTTCTGGTGTGCATGCACACATGATAATCATCTGGCCTTTGTCATGCGGCACTGTCAGAAACTAGAAGAGCTGGTCTTCCGTTTTCTGGCATGAGCATGCACACCAGACAGTTGATCAAGACGTGTGCATGCTGGCAGTAACCGGAAATCTTGCATGTGCGCACCGGAAACTGGAAGTTCATTTTCTGGCACGTGAATGCCCCCTGGGCAGCTTTTCTTCCTGGTCGCGGCCCAGATGAGTGAAGTGCTCCCTTTTCGGCACTCAGTGCAAAAAAGATTCACCATCACTGTTATAGGCCCATTACATTATCTTCCCCCAGAGAGCTGTGGAACCTACAAAATTCCTGAATGCTTAATTAATATGTGATTGATATCGCTGATGATTTTGCTGGACATTTGCAGGTGTCCTCTTTCGAATTCCAACCAGTTTCTGTTTTATTGCAGGTATAATTGTGAAATAAGATAGCTGAATGTGATGGCACAAGTCAAACAGATTATATCAACAGAGAAGAAGCTATAATGATGACAAGTCTCTTTCTAGGGAGCTCATTGCAAATGGAATTATTGCTTCATTTATCAAAATGTCTGAAGGAATTCATCAAGAGTGTCTTTTAACACTTTATTATCTACTTTATTAGACAAACAGATTATATTTTGGGTATATCGGTAACAGAAATTAAACATAAATGTTCCATAGTATCCTATATTATTGATAATTACAGCCATAGCTTTTAGGCTGTCTCAGAGTATTTTACAGCACTCTCTGGGTGGTGTGCAAGGTAGAAGCATTATTTTGCATATTGACCCCAACAATCTCACTAGGATTAAAGTAAAGCCTATGAACTGGTTTTCAAATCTAGAAAATAGGGTAGGATAAAACTGTCCAATTCTGTCAATATCTAAGTGTTGCTTTTTCAGATTTGCCAACTGCAGCCTTTTCTAAATAGCCAGAGCCAGGCTACACATAACCTCCAGAATGTAATCTGTAATTATTGGTCTTGGCACAAAATTGGCACATCATACCAACACACAAAGCACAACATAGAAAACAAGAAAACCTTAGCAGGCATAATTCTAATTTGGCATTAAACTTGAAACTTAAACATGAAACAAAGTAAAATATTACAATATTGCCTAACGTAAGTTTAATTTTTCTTCATCCAAATTTTCCTTCATCTGGTATGTAAAAATGGGCAGAGAAACAAGACCATTGATTATTAAAAAATAAAAAATATTCAGACTTTTGTGGTTGTTATTGTCATTGAGGGTTTTATTGGGTAGAGCAGATTTAAGGCTAAAAGAGTCAAGATCCTCTGACCCTCAGTGAAGAGTCTGTTCCATAGGGCAGTTACCATGATATATATTTGTGTGTGTTTGTGTGTGTGTGTGTGTGTGTGCTTGTAGGTCTAGAGCAGCAAAGTGTCATATTTTTGTCAACATGCATAATAATTGCTTAGATATAGATTCTTCTTAAATATGTTTACATTTGATTCCCATTAAATATAAGCTATATAAATATGTTTAAATGGTTTGCTAACATGGCATTGCCCGAAAGTTTTTGATAATTATCAGCATAAGGGAAAAGGTGATTAGTCACAAGTAGCTCTGCAGGAATTTCATATAGGAAGAAAAAGGACTTGGATGGGGAATCTAGAAATCTAAAAGGATGGAAAGAAGTTGCTGAAAAAATGCAATAGTGACCAGGACATTGTTATAATGTACATTCCTTTCCTTTATGTTTCAAAAAAGTTACATTCCTCAAATACTGGAATCAAATGCATTGCAGATCTGTATAAATAACTGAATTATGTGTATAATTTGCACTATAGTAATGATTATTTCGAAGAATTGACAACTGTAGAACTATTTAAGTTGACACAAGAAAAAAATGAAAATTTCTGTTAAAAGATTTGACATCAGATATCTGTTTAAAAATATTAGATATCAGATGCACTTTTTTAATTTTAGCCACTTGTCTAAAAAAAGAAGTAATAAATATTCTCAGATATGGTAACACTTCATCTGCTTTCAACAATTCTGTAACAGCAGATTTCAAACTACCTTTGCAGCCTTTTCTCCACAGAATATTCACTGTAGGCAGCCAGCCTGTTACTATTTTATTACTTCACATTCTACAGAATTTGTTCTATACATATGCTTTTGTAACTTTGGGGAACATCTATAAAGATATTGTTTTCTGAATAGCACTGGTTCA